ACGGGTACACGAGAGCCACCTCGTTGAGCACGCAGACGAGTGCGATAAGCTTCCAACGGTAATTCTTATGGAACCAAGAAACGAGATCGAAGAGCTTTCCGTTCGGCAAGCTCATCTTCCGTAATGGCCGGGGGCCCGATGATGTAGAGGCGTAACGATCGAGTTACCGCGTCCTTCGCTTCAACAGCGGGATCCGCCGGGCGGGAGCCATATTCCACACGAGGGTTAATGACCGACCGTGGATGGGCGCGCATCAGAGCCGCCTTACGGGCAGCTTCCAGCTGTCGCTTCTGTATCTCATCGAGGTCAAAGGTGATTAAATCACGTTTCTCAGGTGCCGAGAAGTCAGGAAACGGACATGGGGTCCGCAAGGCGCGAGCAGGGCTCGTCACACGTCGCTGGTGCGGCTCGCCCTCCTCGTCACTCCATCCGGGAAAAGGAGTGTCAGGCTCGGAGTCGACCGCCTCCACATCCCCAACGAGGTCACTCGTCACCGTTAGCGTGTGCGGGGCGTATTGCTCGGGCTCATCGAGCCTAGGATATACATCCCTCGATGCCGCGGAGACACGGTCCGACATAGCACCGTGTGCGGAAGATGAAGCTGGGCTCTGCCCGTGAGCGCTGTCGGAACCAGCAAGACTTGGAGACTTCGGTGTCATTGACACAGGGCTCATTGAGCACGGAAGTCGTTTTGCAGAGTCTAACGGCAACGCAGGCCTCGTTGAGGCAATAATCGATTGGAACTATAAATGTTCTCAATCTTAATGGGGGAGAGTGTAACAGGGTTACACATACCCTGGTAACAATGGTGTGTGTCACACCAGATGGGCATGGTGTAACCACACCCAAACAAGAATACGGTACGAGGCTGGATAACCAGTACTTACACATGTATTTAGATTTTACTATACATATTTAGGAAAATCCATGCATTTAAATTTGGCGGCTTTGCCGCAGATAAAAATAAATAAACTTAGTTTTGAATTGAAATGAAGAATTGATTAGCCTTTGGTTAAGGCCATAGTTACTCTTGGAGTAAGCGAATTGCGATCCGCTAAACTCGTGCTTGTTCTGAGTATAGAACGAGAGGTCGGTGACCTAACTTACGCTTTCTCAAAGCACAAAGCTACAGCAGCCCCGCTGCACGCTCAGTAATTAGAATGACTTGTGACACCGTGTTCATAAGTAGCTTCAGACTCGCAGAGTCCATGATAGGAAATACACAGAGGATTGGCTCGAGAGGCCGTTTTTTTTTAGGACGTGAATTTGAGACCCATTTATGTTCAAGTACTTGAGACGCCTCAGAATGTAAGAGCTCGTAAAAATAGCAATATATATGCTCTATCATCTTTTTGGTAAATCCTTGCTGAATGCGTGTAGCCACGCTTTTCGTACCAACACTCTGCTCGCTACAATACTGGACTACATCCGGTCTCGAACTGAAGGACAAAAGCGTGAAGGAGTATATACATTACATAAATTTCCAAATCAGACTTAAGTCAGCGGTAGCTGACTTCAATTTTTCTCAAGAGTATGTTTAGCAGCTTCGCTGCTTCCTCACGAAATCACGAGAACATTACTCTACGCGTTTGTGCACAACTGTAACGAAGAAAGGAACTGCTATGCTACTTTGTGCTAGATAAATATATCGGGTTTTCTATCATATTTTATTATATCCTAAGCTTTTAATTCGTCAGTATCAGTATGTGGTGACTGTGAGTCGTGTCAAATAGTGATTAGCAGCCGAGCTTGGGTAAATGATAAGAGGCAACTGTGCTGTTCGACGATGCATTGAATTACGATGAATGATGCCAACGTCTATTTCGCTTTTCAAATTGAATCTTTATGAGCTAAAAGAACAAGACCAGCATCAAACATGTTGGCAGAAGGGCGCACCAGTCTCTCCCACCCAGCGTCGTGGCTGAGTCAGGCCTCTAGCTCAACGCAACGAAATAGCGCGCAATTGCACTTAGTCTCGACCTTTTCAAAAAGTGACTAGTGCTTTACCACGCTTGTCTAGCGAGAGAGATCAATTACGTTCCAATACACGCAATCAGTAATTCCCAGTCAAGACACACTTTTGGTTTTTAGTAACCCACAATTAGTTCATAGTCGTGATATAACGATCCCCATTTTCACCTTCTACATTATCGTAGCAGATTTATTGCGTTTTTAGCTCGACTGCTGTGGTTTTCGGAGCCCAGCACGACATGACGCAATCAATAGCATCAGCTGTAGTATATTGAGAATTTTCGAAACATGCTGCGATTTCGTCGAACTCAATGGTGTAATCCAGACAAGCTCCGTGTGAATAACTCTATTTAGCTAATAGCGCGACCGATTAGAAAACTGTCAGAAAGAACCGTGACGTTTGTTTCCTAACGTATTGCGCTCATTAACGTTCACACTATGCAACGAAGTGGTCTCTGTCGTCTTCAAATGTGTTATGCAGATCAAGTGCGATAAGTGACTTCCAGTCCCATGTGTTGCAAAGGCGTCAGTCAATAATAGCGTGTAGCAGAAGAACTTTGGGTGCGCCAAGAAGTGGCTTTTGAGCACCATCTTGCAGGCGCTTTAGATGTAATTTGGCACTCAGTTTCTCCTTATCACGCATCACTATCGAAATGGAATCGGACTAGCTTGGACGATTAGCAACGCCAACCTTTTGCTCTAAGATTTCTTGAAGTACCCCTCATTTTTGTTATATCGATCGCCTGGTGCATGCCTAACTGTTAGGTGAACAGACTGATACGCACTGCAGTCTCATATTCGAGACTTCTAAATCTAAGTTGTTCAGAAGCTAAAAAACGAGTATATGGATTTTTATTGGTTGAAATGAATAGTCATGCCATTACGTATCATGAAACTTGCCACATAGATAATTTTAATTCATACAGAAATAATACCAACGATTGTGCTCTCAGTCATACAAATCTACACATCATTACTACAGTATCTGATACCATATTATAACTTGGTGATGAAAATTTCCTCATTAAAATATCCACAATCAAAACAGGTTTAACGGGGAGTAATACCCATTTTCATGCAATGTCGTCATCAGATCCCCCCCCTCGTCATTCCTAAATTTGCGCCGCACCCAAGCTTTCTTCTAAAGGCTAATTAGAGCTATGGCCAACCTCTCGGACATTGGACTCTACGGTTTGGCCGTCATGGGCCAGAATTTTGCACTAAACATGGCATCGCATGGCTTCAAGGTGTCTGTATGCAACCGATCCCCCGATAAGGTGGACGCTACAGTACAACGCGCCAAAGATGAAGGCAACCTGCCCCTTGTAGGTTACAAGGATCTAAAGGAATTTGTGGACTCGCTCGCGCGTCCCCGCAAGATCATCATCCTCGTGGTGGCTGGCAAGCCTGTGGATTTGACAATTGCCTCGCTCGCGGAATTCATGGAGCCTGGCGACATCATTGTTGACGGCGGCAATGAGTGGTTTCCTAACAGTGTTCGCCGTGCCAGCGAATTGGAGCCCAAGGGCATTCACTTTGTGGGTATGGGTGTTTCTGGTGGTGAGGAAGGTGCTCGCAACGGTCCTTCGCTCATGCCTGGTGGTCCCAAGGAGGCTTTTGACGCGCTCGAGCCTATTATCACCAAGTGCGCCGCCCAGGTGGATGACGGGGCTTGTACTACTTACTTAGGTCCAATTGGATCTGGCAATTACGTTAAGATGGTACACAATGGGATCGAGTACGGCGACATGCAGCTTATCGCGGAGGCTTACGACATTCTTAAGATTGCCGGCGGCCTTACGAACGAAGAGCTAGCAAACGTCTTTGACGAGTGGAATAAGAGCGAACTTGAATCATTTCTAATTGAAATAACGGCTCAAATTTTTGCGAAAAAGGACGATTTGACGGATGACGGCTACGTTTTGGACAAAATTTTGGACAAAACTGGCATGAAGGGAACCGGTCGCTGGACGGTGCAGGAAGCCGCTGAGCGCTCCATTGCTGCCCCCACCATCACTGCTTCTCTCGATGCTCGATACTTGAGCGCTCGCAAAGATGAACGGGTGTTCGCCTCCAAAATTTTGTCGGGTCCTTCTGAAATTCCTGCTGTAGACAAGCAGCAGCTTATTGACGACGTGCGTCAGGCCCTGTACGCTTCCAAGATCTGCTCGTACGCTCAGGGCTTGAACCTCATTCGTGAGGCGGGCTCCCAATTGGGCTGGAACGTTGACCTGGGTGAGTGTGCTCGTATTTGGAAGGGCGGTTGCATCATTCGTGCCAAGTTCCTGGACCGCATCAAGGCAGCGTACACAAAGGACGCTTCGCTGATTTCACTGCTGGTTGACCCGGACTTTGCTGCTGAATTGCAGGCTCGTCAGTACTCATGGCGCCGCGTGGTCTCGCTCGCTGTGGCTAGTGGCATTCCTACTCCTTCGTTTGCAGGATCGCTTAGCTACTACGATACGTTCCGTCGCGAGCGTCTACCTGCCAACCTTACTCAGGCCCAGCGTGACTACTTCGGTGGTCATACTTACGAGCGTACAGACCGTGAAGGTCTTTTTCACTGCGCCTGGTCAGCCGCCCACCACAGTATTGGCGACGTCTCGGAACGCATTCGTGGAAACCTTTAAGCTGCTATCATTTCGAGACACGTAGTGCCGTAATTATCCGAAACCGCTTGTAAATCCGAATTTCGCTCCTTATTGCCGAGACTCTCGTGACTCTTGTCTTTGTAATTTTTATTCACTATTCTGTGCTCTACTATTCTCTCGACGTCCGTACGTGGCCACACATGCTAGTAATGTCAGCGTCCCTGAGACAGACGTATATTTATCAGTACTTCCGCAATATGATTAGTAAACAAAACAAAAAACCTTACTATTTGATTTGTTACTTAATCATTTTTCTATTCTTGCATGCTCAAATAGTAGCGTAATATTGACTAACGCCCCTCAGTACTACCAAAACTTTGCACCATGCGCCTTAAGCCAAACGACCGAAGTCCTGCGTCCAGTAAGTTACTAGGTTGCAGTTATTGTTCACCGCCTTTGCAAAACCAACGTGTCTTACGTCTTTGCTAAGCAAGTTGGCACGGTGGCTGGGCGAGTTCATCCACGCAGTCATTACTTCATCCACCGTCTTTTGACCGGAAGCAACATTCTCCGCGACAAAGTTAAAGTTATAATTTTGCAACATAGCACGATCGCCGATTCCTGAACCATTTGAGCCAGTGTGTGACATTCTGCAATTTCTTGCCTGATCCTGCGAGTGAAGAGTGGCAGCGGAGACCAATCGGTTGTCGATTGAGAGCCCAGGTAGACCATTCTGTGACCGAAAGTTATTTATTCGAAGCAACATATCAGTCCCTTCGGCAGCCAACAACCCATTGTTAGAAGTCTGACCGTGCACTTGGACTTGACTTTGGCTTTGTGCGGCACGGAAAACCACGTAGCCGCAGTTCGTGCTCCACTTCGTAATTTTGGCCGACGGAGTGCCTGTTTTGAACCAGCATGTGCCACCGGCATAATTGTTCCAGGCCCAATGTGTGCACCTTATGTCATCCGCACAGACATCCCCACACACGTTTGGAATAGCTCGCATCCAACGGTAATCGTTTCCAGTAAAGTCACAGTTATCTTCCCACATAACGCGCCCGCCACTGCCAGGCTGAAAGCCATAAGCTATTGAAGTGACTGATCCGGTCACCACGAAGGCGGCAAAAAGCACAGAACCTGATATACAAGGCATTGAGTTGGTACGTCGACCGTTTTCAACAAGTCAATTTGAAGACTGAGAGCTATATGTGATCCGAAGATGTCGTAACCTAGCAATGGTAAACATTTTCCATGTGAAAGTGATGACTTTTCAGATGCAGTGTTGACTGAAATTCCCCTTGGATAGTGCACTCCCAAGATGCAGATGGTAAATCATGAGGTGGTGTTACGTTATAGACGAGTGTAACAGGTTGCCCTCACTTTGTGTTAAAGGTTGTATTCCAAGCGAAATTAATTATTCTACTATAGCATCGCACTTTTGACAGAGAGGCATGAACCTTGTCAAATGTTCAATTGTCGATTATCAGCTTGATTAGTACGAATTTTGTTGAAAAAATCGTGTATTTCTTATTGAAGTATAATCTGTGCAAAACAGATGCTATGTTGACCAACTCATATCAACGACTTCTTGACATGGTTTTGCTGTCCCTATTTGCTTTACTACCAAGTATGGCTGATATTAGATCATATGATTTCTGTGATAATTGAAAACGCGCATTAGAACTGATAGTTTCTTCGTGCATACGCCTTGCCTTTCATTGCTTCCGTATACAACTCGTTATCGCACCGAGTAGCTTAAACCGGCGTCTGCAATATTCAGGAATCACTTTTACAGGAAATATATTCCTGTGTTGATGTCGACAGATTCACAGATCAGTTTACATTGGGATCTTTCAGGGTTGGAACTCACAATGCGTACTTTAAATTTCGAGCGCGACGTTTTAATAATGTTTGCGCGAGCAATGCAAGACGAAATCAGAAGGTTCAGCTTCATTATTACTAAAGCGGCCACCGGAGAGTGACCCTTATTTGCAATTTGAGATCAGAAACTGCATTAATCAGGTCAGGACGATGCCATTTGTGCCTCAAACACAGGATTTTGATTTTGTTTATTTGATCCTAGATAGAAAAGAGGTGACAATTTGTATGTCTGGAACACGGCATTCAGATCGACGAATTTTTGTGGTTTCCTTGTCCAAAAATCATTACCTTAATTTTCAGCAAATAAATCTTAGCCACTATCAGTTTTTGATAGAGCGATAATTTATATTATTTGCTAACGCTCTCACCGAGATCGCTCCGCTTAAAATTTAGAAAGACTAGCTTTGATCAATCTATCACGCCATTCAGGAAGACAACACCATTTCGCGCATCTTAATATGCTCGTCCTGGATTAGTTTTTCTAACTTTTGCACGTTTGCATCAGCATTAAGCTCATAAATCGCTTCAAACGAATGTTGATTTTCCTGCAGCACCGTTTTCCATGCCTTTCCACCACAAACATCCATGCTTGAGCGCATGACAATTCTCTTACCGTCTGGCAACAGCACGCCCACAACTACGCTACCCTCTTCCAAGCACAGTCCATCGACTTCATCAGAAGTGACGTTGTACACAACACAATTTGGAGCCATAATTGAGTGCGCAGTCACATTTATGAGAATTGATCCCTCCGCATGCACTTCTTTCGCACAAACGCCACTCAGCACGCTGTGTTTGATGTCACCGTGACCGATTTCGCAATTCAACACGAAAGCACCGTCGATAATCGCATTCTCACCAATCTGACTGTGCTCTGTATTGTTTCCAATGCCAAGAAATAAGCGCAAACAATCCGCCTCAAGTCCCAGTTGAGTCACTAGCCGATTGTTCTTTAAATAAAGTTTTAATTGGCCGTAGTCCCACCAATACACGTCGCTACCGACATCTACGCAGCCAAAGAGCCCGAGTTCTTTTGTTCGGTTCTTCTTGAAGGTTGCCATCATCTTCTGCATTCGCTGATAGTGCGCAGTAGCCTCTGGAATCTCGGTACCCTTCTGCGTCATTACTTCCGTGTACGCGTTTAGCTCGAGCGTGAGCGGCATCCAAAAGTGTGGGTCGCTATCGAGCTTCCCACTTTTGGCAGCTAATTCCTTGGAAAATTCAGTAAGCAACGCCTGAAGCATGTCAGAGTCCACACTAAAAGATCCCAAACTAGTGCCCACCGATTTCACCTCGCCAAATGAAGCCAGCAGACGAATGGCAGTCTCGTGAGTGACTTTGTCAACCTGAGCAGCACTATCTTGCTGGTTGACTGCAATTAGACCATACTTTTCAAGACCCTTTTCTTTCCATTCTTTTTCCGTGGGCATAGGAGCAAGTGCTGCTAAAATATCAATGTGATGATTCGCGTTATACTTAACTTCAGCCGACGGAATAAACACTTGGTCGCCCCAAAAAACAGACAGACGTCCGCGACGGCTTGAGGCATACACACCAGTCTGCTTTACAACAGCCTCAAGGATTGTCATAGGTACATGTTTCCCCGTCACCTCCACCATAGCCGGTAACTTCACGCCAGATTTGTTGTTATTTTCACTGCCTGGAAGTGGCGCAAGACGCGTGCCCTTGCCAGCAGTATGGTACAGCGCGACACTTATCCTGCCGTCGGCAAGAAGCGTCGGTACATCGATGCCATAAAGTTTTTTAGCAGCAGCGAGAGCTTTATTATACGCGTAAAGAGTACCGAGGCCGTTGCCAGCGCCACCATCCCAGTCTTCATATACGGCGATGACCTTGGCATACTTTGGGGAGATTGAGCCACGCGTGGCCATAAGGCGATCCTGCCAATATTGCGCCTGATGTGGAGTGGACGTACACACGATAATTATATCGTAGCCGTCGAGACGGTTGATCTCGTCAATGTTGCGCTGGTGTGATGTTCGTGGAGCCATTTCAGCAGGCGTGTAAAAAGTCTTTGACTGTTGTGAGGAAAAGTAGAAATAAACAGCATCTGGAGTGCAGAGATTTGAGGAGTTTGACCATTGAATTGGGATGTGCGTTGGAGGAGTTTCAGTTCGTCGTAATTCGCTTGTCTGTTGCGTAGCTGTTCTCCCAGCTATTAATAATAAATAAAAGAGATTTGCATCTATTTGTGCTGTTTTCAAAGTACATTCATAGAAGAATGGGGTCGACAGATCTTGGTATGCAGTGCGCAGCTCCTACATCAAATCTCAATTCGACGAAATCCTTTGTTGAATGCATCGTGTCATGATTTAAGCAACTCATTGGACTATTTGAGAATTTTATGCGGCATGAAAATACTGAAAGGCAGAAGACAAAACAATATCTGGGGTGAGCCGAGTACTTGGACAACCGCGCCTGAACGTTTTGACTTAAAGTCATCAATTTAAAACAGGAAAACCAAGCAAACTGCCACCACGACCTTTACACGAACACTTGACCAATATTTTATGGTGTGTGGTGCGAAGCACCGCACACATCTTAATGGTGAATGACATTATAATCGCGAGTGACGAATGGTTCAGCCATGCTTTCTAGCACAAATGTGCTAAATAGCACATAAATAAAAATCAACCACAGTTTTGGTCATCTGCCTTTAAGTCTAAGGCTTACTGCTAATATTTAGTTGCAGTGCCGAGCAGCTCGAGCGGCGGCTACTTGATCAATACGGAATCATAAACTGCATCCAAAACACGCAGTGACGCATGTGTACAACGCCATACCAATATGTACCTATGTATTGAAGTGGTTAACAACTATAGAAATATTTTTATTGTCTGACTATGTTTTTAAGCAATCTACTATATCAAAAATGACGAGGTCATCCTACACAGAGGCGCTAATCTCGGGACAGCAGACCGCAGATCAAGTGGCGCAGCAGCTCTGTGGTGACAGTAAGCTAAGTACTAAGGCTGGAATCTCGGCTGAAACGACAGTGCAAGTTGCAACGCTTGTTTTGGAGGCTCTCGTGAAGCAATCGGCAGTCGCTACATCTGGGTGTTATACTGCGCCACTGTTAAAGCAACAACAGCACAAGGATGCCGTCATCGCTTACACCCATCAGCACACACGCAGTGCAGCCATCTCACATGTGGTAGAAGCCGCACTTGCCCAGAAGCTGCTAACTGACGAGAATCCATTAATTAATCTTTTTAACTGGGACACATTCAAAAGCCGTCTGGCCAATCTGTGTCGTGCCTTTCCCGAGCCAGAATTCAACCATGCAGTTGCCGTCAAAGCCAATCCTATACGTGGTATATTGCGTGGTGCGCTTGCTCAAAATTTCGGCGCCGAGTGTGCGTCCATTGCTGAGGCCAAGCATGCGCTGTCACTCGGGTTCGAGCCTCGGAAAATCGTTTACGATTCACCTTGCAAGACATTAAATGAACTGCGCGAAATGGTGCTTGCGGGAGTCTACATCAATCTGGACAATGAGGAAGAAATTTGCAAAGTAAATGAAATTTTGGCGAAGTTGGGCAATTCCGAAGAAACAATGAAAACATGCGCGGCACAATTTGGATTGCGCATCAATCCTATGGTGGGAGGTGGAACCATAGACGCCACTAGCACAGCAACCGCTGTTAGCAAGTTTGGACTCCCGCTAACTGAAACGACAAAGCCTCGATTGTTAGCGATTTACAAGCAGAACCCGTGGCTTCATGGCGTGCACGTGCATGTTGGGTCGCAGGGCTGTTCTTTAGATCTCTTAGCTGCTGGAGTAAAGAGAGCAGTCCATTTTGCCCTCGAAATTAATGCTCACGTAGGATATAAGCAAGTGTGTGTGCTTGACATTGGTGGAGGCATGCCAACTGTGTATGACGGAGGAGAATGCGAGGCATATGATTTCCAAGATTACGCAAACACGCTGCGAGAACAAGTCCCAGAACTATTTGCAAGCGGGTTTACGTCGATTATCACGGAATTCGGTCGCAGTATTTTTGTTAAACCTGGAGTCACGGTGTCCAAGGTTGAGGCTATCAAAAACTGGGTAGGACAGCACATCGCAGTTGTGCACGTTGGCGCAGACCAATTCCCTCGGACAGCTTATCAACCAGAACTTTGGTCGCATTGCATCTCTGTACTTGACCATCACGGACATTCTAAGAAGAATCTCAGCAGCGAGTACTTATGTCAAGATATTGCGGGTCCGCTTTGTTTTTCTGGCGACTATCTCGCCAAACAACTGCTACTTCCACCTATTCACGTGGGTGACTTTGTCGTAATTCATGATACTGGTGGCTACACCATGTCAATGTTTTCTAAGTACAATAGCCGACAAGTATCTTCATATTTTGCCTACTCAGCTAATTGTCAATCCGTCAAGTTTTTCATGCTGAAGGATCGAGAGACCACAGAGGAGACGCTTTCGTGTTGGGGTCTAGACTGTGATGTCGATCTATGAGAAGTTGACTTTGTAATGCAAAGCACGGAGACAACACGTGACTTAATTTTGTGTGTACTTTGGAATACCTCGGTAGGATAAATCGCAGCATTACCCCGCTAATCTTATCACACATCACTTCATGCCAAGTCGAGCTTGTGCACTTTAGTAGCTACTTTCAAGCATACTGCGAATGTAGACAACCTGTCCAAAAGCAATTGCAACGAGCAGAATGTTGGTAATTAATGACATCCACTTCACGCGGGAATTAGCACTCTCGGCAGCTGTTTTTAAAACATTTTACACTTCAGCACCATACCACAGGACAATTGGGTCACGCACCGTCACGACTCATTCTTTCTCGATGTTTGATAAACGAGATATCGCCACGGAGAGTAAAGACCGACTCCTTGAAGTACGCGACTTCGTGCATCAGCTCTAAGCCGAGATCTATCAAACCATATCAGTATTTGTTTTATCGGTATCAATTTGAAAAAGATACGTACCTTCAACAACAATGTGCGGGAAGTAATCCTCCGAAACGTGGTGGGTACCGAACACGACAGCATCACCATTTTCTTGTGCGTGAATTGAAAATGTAATTGTTTCGGCAGGACCGTTAAGCTTATTCTCAAAAATTTCCGTGATATCAAACGAAACATGACTACCAAGCTCCGTCGCGGCGTCGTCAATCACATAGTCGCGAAATCCACCTGTAGCATAACTCTCCATTGTCTTCCACGTGATCGGATGCTGCATGCGGTCAGGCAGCATTGCTAGTGCTATATCCACATACTCTTCGTCTGTGATACTGTCCACCGTAAGCAAAAGCTTTACGCGAGTATTGCCACGAATGATACTTTGCGAGACGCCCACGAGATCGAACTCCATGACCCCCATTCTAATTACTTCACTGTTTAGCGTGGTCAGTGCCATCTGCATATATGCAGAGATTGTTGGAGTGTCTTTGTTGATCGTCGCCGTCACATTCGGTATCAGAGTTAAGCTCCGGACACCAGTCGATATGAAGTCAAACGAGTAGAATAGCGTGATTATAGATGACGCGCCCTTGAGCTTGCGAAAGCACAAGTGATACAAACCACTTTCGCGTATCACAGCCGTTTTAAAGTTGTTCTGCTCCGATTTCCAAGTCATCACTTCCCGTTGTGACGGACTTTTAACCTGCATGAACGCTGAACTTCAATTTCTCCTTTGATACTTGACATTTTTAAGCTTCAGCCGACGTACCGCAACGTCAACAACATCGTATATTTCTGGCTCAAGAATGCCAAAGCGAAAAAGCACTTTGTTGTCCGAGGCGCGAGCATTAACTGTCTCCATAAAGCATTCCTATTTCAATAGTCAATGTGATTCATACTCTGCAAAAGGTTACAGCACGTGGAGTCACGAACCTCCGTCCGAGATGTCAGACTGAATTGAAAACGTGATGCGGAGGTGCTGGATAGAAGACATAGGCATACCAAGGGCGCTACCGCTACTGGGATGTAGCGCATGATTAAAAAAACTGGAAGGTCGTCGATCGAGAAAGATTCTGCTCTCCGCAACGTAAGGCAATTGTATTTGCCTTGTTTTCGCAACATAAGAGCTTGCAAACTTAAAGCATGCGACCTTAAAATTAAAAGAGATAATGTGAATATTTTCAGAAATGAGATAAGGCATGTAGCTACCTCTCCTTGGCTTCAATTGCGTAATATAATATATTCGCAGGGGTTGATTTGTGAATCTCCCTACCTCTGTAAATTGCAATTGAGTCTTACTTGATTTGTTTATCAAACAACATTAATATGTTGATACAACATGTTACAATGTAAGTAGCTATCAATGTAAAGCTTCAGGTTACTTACTTTATCAGCAAATACAAGGGCGAAAAAAGGAATCGTTCAATGTCTGCTTCGAGGCTAACTTGACTCGATCAAGCAATTTACTCATGTTTGAGAAATGAGTAATATCGAAAATTCGAATGCAGCGGGGCTGCCGTAGCTTAGCGCTTGAGGAAGCGTTATTTGGTCACCGACCTATCGTTCTATACTTAGAACAAGTACGAGTTAGCGGATCGCAATCCGCTTACTCCAAGAG